TCCTCGTCTTAGAGTCTTCACAGACTTATAAGACAACTCTTAAGCCTTCTGTCAAGGTATCGTCCTTGACCCTACTCCAAACCCTAACCCCAATACTCACTTGTGTAGTACTGGTAGTTTCAAGAGGTAAGCTAAGGCTTGTCTTGGGAGTGACTAACTCAGAGAGTGAGTAGAGTGAAGTAGACGAAGTATGACCTGAGATAGATCAGACTGCTATACTACGCTGTATTGCTCTGGTATTTATACATATGGGACCAGACCCTGGTCACTACTGGTAGTACACCTAACACCTAGGATGACTGATGCTTGTAATATGCTATTGGCTATCTAAGAATACCTAGCATGTGAACCATCACCCTGTCCATGTGTTCAGTCAGCAGTCTGATGTGTGATGATTACCTGAACAACCATATGTGTCTCTAGTACAAATGGGGAAATCTCATGTGAATGTATGATAGCCCATTTGCCCTGCTTCTGATAAGCTAGACACCTGACTAGTAATATGTCACCATGCATTATGCTATCCTTATCTCTTTAGATATCTAATTGGATAAGATATAGATCATCTAGATGCTGGAGATGAGATAGACACCATGAAATTCTGTGACATTACCCTCTCTTCAAGACTGAGACTCTAGCAAAGAAGATAAACCAGTGGATCCAAATCCACTAGTTCCCCATTGGGCGTTGATAGGCCTGCGTAGCGCATAGGCGTGCCTCGAGTCGTACACAACATTCGAAGCGTTCGAAGCTTATGTCTTCGGGAATGACTGTGATACCTCGAAACGAGAACGCCCTCGAGCAAGGCCCGCCCTTCAACATCGTCGAAGCCTCGCAATCTCACGACAATCTGATCGGGATCTTTTGGTGGCAGCTTTATTCCGGGGGCTTGACTTTGAAGGCGAAACCCCATCATCCAGAGATTGAGACATACGATACAGGGCTGACGGGTAAACCTTTAAGTTGATGCGCTCGGGTCGCAACGCCAAGACTTGCAATGGTCAGGCCTCCGAGACTAGTAGGAATAGCGCGGTAGACAGGAATCGGAAACTGATGGAGATGTTGGGCGGGAGTAGGAAGGATAGCGGGATTGTTCGGTGCGGTCAGGGCAGTGGAGGTGGTGACTCG